GATAGTAGAAGTTAAACGGGTAGCTGTATCATACATAATGCATGAAATCATTACAGTAAGAGAAGCTAAAATGTCGTCTGCCGACAGAAATATGTAGCTTAAGTCCTCTATGAGTAAGATCGAGGGAGCTGCAGACGCCAGCAGAATTTACTAAAATAAGAGGAAGTCGATGGAAGCGGCAACGCGGTAGAGCATCATTTTTCGGCGGCCAATATAGAGGCGCTGATAACTGATCGGCCTTCACGGTAGGCCCGATTGACCGTTTATCTGCTCAGTTCTGAGCACCAAAAACAATATTGACGGAGCGACCAGGAACAACAGCACCGCGTACGGCGTCGGCTGCGATGAGCACTCCAACTAGTGAGTTTCTTCCTAGGAACAGAAGCTCGATCTTCGCTCAAATTTCCGACGCTAAAGCTAACAACTGCAAACGCTGGTCCTAACGTGCACCTTGTCGGCTCTTATGCAAATCAGGATTAAAATATATGGCTTCCTATGCATAGTGAAACGACGCTCCAGCGTCACAGGCTACAGTCAAAGATCGGTGGAATGTTTCAACAGTTTCAGCGCTCATTGGTTGTAATATTTAAAATATTTTATAGCATGACTCCTTTGTTCTAATCCTGACATTTTAATTTCATTTGACGGGAGATGAGGTATATGTGACTGGTTCCAGATGCTGTCCTCGTAAATTCATTACCTATGAAATAATAAATTTCTCATCTTTATCCGTACGTGAGCTACTAAAAGCTTAAAGAGCAGAATTTTGGGGCTGGGCGAACTTTACGAGGCATGCGAGGCTGCGTTTATTACTTCCTCTCCATGACTATAAATTACGGAAGAAGCTCTCCTGACGATAATATGTTCATAATACCATCTGCCCGTTCGCTCAAATTTCCGACGCTAAAGCTAACAACTGCAAACGCTGGTCCTAACGTGCACCTTGTCGGCTCTTATGCAAATCAGGATTAAAATATATGGTTTCCTATGCATAGTGAAACGGCGCTCCTGCGTCACAGGCTACAGTCAAAGATCGGTGGAATGTTTCAACAGTTTCAATGCTCATTGGTTGTAATATTTACAATATTTTATAGCTTGACTTCTTTGTTATAATCCTGACATTGTTATAAATTTAATTTCATTTGACGAGAGAGGAGGTATAGATGACTGATTCTAGATGCTGTCCTCGTAAATTCATTACTTATGAAATAATAAATTTCTCATCGTTATCCGTGAGCTACTAAAAGCTTAAAGAGCAGAATTTTGGGGCTGGGCGAACTTTACGAGGCATGCGAGGCTGCGTTTATAACTTCCTCTCCATGACTATAAATTACGGAAGAAGCTCTCCTGACGATAATATGTTCATAATACCATCTGCCCGTTACCATGTAATGGCGGCGGCAGTAGCTACATAATACCATCTACCCGCTCCCATGTAATGGTGGCGGCAGTAGCTACATAATACCATCTGCCCGTTACCATGTAATGGTGGCGGCAGTAGCTACATAATACCATCTGCCCGTTACCATGTAATGGTGGCGACAGTAGCTACATAATACCATCTGCCCGTTACCATGTAATGGTGGCTACAGTAGCTACATAATACCATCTGCCAGCTGATATACCTTCTAGTTTTGGCGAAAATAGGTTCGTATATAGATTGTTGGAGGTAGTCTAGCTAGAGCATTAGATCGTTAGAGGTAGTGTAGTTGTAGCATTAGATCGTTAGAGGTAGTGTAGTTAGAGCCTTAGATTGTTGGAGGTAGTGTAGCTAGAGCATTAAATCATTAGAGATAGTGCAGTTACAGCATTAGATCGTTAGATGTAGTGTAGTTAGAGCATCAGATTGTTTGAGGTAGTGCAGTTATAGAGCTTTAGATCGTTAGAGATAGTGCAGTTAGTGCCTTAGATCGTTTGAGGTAGTGTAGTTAGAGCATCAGATCGTTAGAAGTAGTACAGTTGGAGCCCTAGATCGTTAGAGATAGGGCAGTTAGAGCATCAGATCGTTAGAAGTAGTGTAGTTGAGCGAGTAGATATGTCAGTGTCAGACAGGCTGGCAGCTCACATGCTACAGGCTGGCAGCTCATGACCATGCCGGAATGCTACTAATAAAATAATAAATATCCGTTAGTGTCATTAAAAATTATTGTTATTGAAGCTTCCTCTATTAAGAATCTACATCAAAAATGATCTACATTAATGATAATCTACATTAATGCATAATGCCAGACAGTCTACTCGCGTTCAGAACGTACCAGGCTCATGAGGAGGCCTCCAGAGCCGGTCTAACAAAACATGGAGAAAGAATCCTTCTCCTGTCCATATAATATTGAACGTACCAAGGCCGTTCACAGGTGCGTATTGCGTATAAATAGCGCCGTTTTTAATTTGATTAAGATTGGTTTCGAATAGTAAAACTTGTGAGTGGTAAATGTGTTATAAATTAACGGTCATCAGGCTAAATAATAAGCAGAAAAAATCTGACAACGCTCGCACGATCGCATTGTGAATGAAAAGCTTCCTTCTTAATTTGGTCAAGATCGGTATTTACTAATTGAAAAGTTCATGCCGTGAAATTTGCAATGATAATTCGTCCCAACAATTCCTTCCAAAAATCCGTCTCATAAGTGTTGGATCGGTCCGATATCATCACTGCACATGCCATCGCGCCATTTTAAAGCATTACTTCGCTGCCTAAATTTAGCGACCTCTTCCATAGAGGAGGCAAAACATGGCTCGCATCGTCTATCAGGTGATAATGAGATTTATTCCTCAAATATGCCACGTTCAGTGAGGCTGTCCGTAATGAACAGGAACATTTTCAGTGTTCTTATTGCAGACCAAAATTGGCCTGCGAGTTATCTCGTCCACACACGATCAAAATTATTACGGCGAGACTCGATGGGCTCAACCAAAACGTCTATCGATGTCTAAACTCTTGACGTAAGAAAAGATTTCACACAGTTCAATACAATTTTCTACGATTTTTATATTTTGAAATTGAATATCATTGTAAAATAGATCGGTTAAATGCATTCTTCAATTGTTTAGTTGGGAAACAACAGTGACCAACTCTCATCTCAATTCGTCCTTCACGTTACAAATGAGCAGATGAGAAGTGACTCAGAATATCATATATCGAGTATATCGAGAGTTCACAGTTTTGCTAATAAAATTGAATTGTACAGAAGGTAATTGAAATTTGGTTGCAATTTCACAGTATGAGCAACCAAATGCAATTTCATGCATTTGGTTGCTCATACTGTGTAGTTTCTCGGCTGTTTGTACTTCTGAAGTGTCGAGCCTTCTTCCGTGAACTTTTGGTCTAAGAAGGATAATAAATTGTGCGCCTCGTATGAAGAAACTTGTAATTTGCCCGAAGATTACCAGTATACTACGGAGAGTTCCTTGTGTTTATTCTTCCTCTCTCCAACGCAAGGGAATTTAGAGCCGGACCAAAGAGCGACTCTTTAGCCCTTGTGCAAGGACTACTACACACAGGACATGCATAGCCTATGTCCAGCCTCTGCTAGCAGAGGCGATCGCCTACACTATGAAAATGCTGTTGTTTTAGTGATGACATCGTTGGCGCTCCAAGTATGAACGCGTTCAAGAACAGACTAGATAAAGCTATGGAAAAATATATGTTCAGATTTGAAATGCCTAGCACCATATCGAACCCCGTGGAAGTCTAGTAGCTACTCCAAACTATCGTCAGTCATGAAAAGATCCGGTCAAATGACACGATTTTAGATCTTCTGTGAAGAAGGCACACACATCAGGCCTACACTTCAGCGCCGAGATCAATATGTTATGTTATGTAAGCATGACATTTCTTCTAAACTACAGTACAGATTTGAGCGAAACTTTGAATATAGAAACCTCATGGTTGAACTAGTATAAGGTTGAGCGATCAGAAGCCCATTTTTGTCGATGTAATTCGTTGATCGCCTGTGACGTCACTGATCTCAGTGACGTCACGGGTATTAACCAATCACCGAAATGCAATCAAACCAGTCAACTAATCCGTCGTGTGAATGACGGGTTTGTTCATGTTTCTCGATCTACGTGACGTAACAAGAAAGCTGAACTGAAAGACGGAACTTCTCGTGGGTCAACCTTATATAGTTCAACCATGTAGAAACCTAACCTCCCAACGGTGATGTTTAGCTCGTGACAATTTTTAGGTTTTGCCTTCGTTTGCGAGTTTATCTTCATTTATCCTACATTCGTGATTTAAACAGCAATAAGTGCTTGAATTCGCAGTGAGCATAGAATTTCTCCTAAGATGCAGAACAGATTTGAATGAAACTTCATTTCTAATACCTAAACTCTCAACGGTGATGTTTAGCTCTACATTTTTTTCGATTTTGCCTTCGTTTGCGAGGTATACGGCTTTACGTATACAGCTGACAGCTCCGGGTCAATGCAAGTTTGAAATTCGGCCTGAGAAATGCCGGTCGTTTCTCCGTGTATCCGTATAACTCGCAAACTATCCGTATAACTCGCAAAATAAAAAAAAATGTCATGATCCAAACATCACCGTTGGGAGGTTAGGTTTCTATATTCAAAGTTTCGTTCAAATCTGTATTGTAGTTTAGAAGAAATGTCATGCTCACTGCAAATTTCGTCACGTATCGTCATATAACTCACGAATGAAGGCGAAATTTGAAGATTTTTCACGAGCTAAACATCACGGTTAGATCCTAATGAATACGTGTACAAGTTTCATCGAGTTACATTCATTACTTTGGGATATATTCCTTGCTCACTGAATTCGGGGAGTCTGGCCGCGGGTCCGGCCGTAAATTTGTCCGAGACGTCAGAAAATGCGAGACAATATGTAAAATGTTCAATTACTGGAAGAATGTTTTAGAGCGAGGAAGGTTCTGTACCGCCATAAACATAAGCCAAACGCGTTAAAAATATCTTTAATATAATTTGCGGTGCTTGTTAATTAGCTTGTTTCTGTAGCTTGCCTGATTTATAACCGAATACAATTTTGGTTGAATCGGTAACTTTCAATTAGTCATAATTTTTCCGTTAATTAATGCTTGAACCAATCTAGTCGCAATTCCGCGTTACAGGTACAGTAGCTGTCACTGTCAGTTGCGCAGGAGGCCTTGTCCTGTGCGAAGGTCAGGTTCCTGTGATCATGAGTATGCGGAAGTACGTCCAGAGCTTACTGGATAAGTAAGTATATAATTAACATATATGAACTTCAACGGTTGCTATGCCGCTAAGGTTTATCGAAGAGAGATTTGAGCCATTTTATTTTTCCTATGAAGTAATATTAACATGTAATGACGTAAATGGTATTGGAGGAAAGAAGAATGTAGGTAAGCAAAAATATGAGAATTTACTAACCACAAATTCTCATGTTTGAGAAAAATTTGTCAGCAACTAATTCAGAAAATTAGGCTGAAGCTACTCATGATTCATGAACAAGCTAAAAGGTAAAACTTCAATTTTGATGTACCGTCAAGTTGTCAACGACTCAAGCCTCAAGGCGTCAAATGGGGTACCGTAATATTGCATGTGTGGGGACTGGAGACGTGGGGTAAATTGGGATAGCCCTAGCCCCTAGTTGTCCCACATAGTCATATCATAGAAATGTTGTAGCTGGTAAATTAATCAAAATATTACAATTTGCAAAACTATAAATAGTGGCTTAAAGATCAACATTTTTATTACCTATGTTTCTGCACCATGTGAGTTACCCTCGCACTCAAGGGTCAAGGCAAAGGATGCGCGCACGCTGCATACTCTGTGCATAGTGGCAAACCAGAGCTTTTTTTAGAATCGGTTCATTTTCAATTTCCTCATTTACTCAAGACTTAAACCAATTTCTTATGTATGATAATGCTGGTATCCAGGATACTTTATTGGTCTACTTATAGGACTCAAAAATGAACTTGAGGGAGAGTCTAAAAAACTCTCTGCATTGCCACTATGCGCGCGGCAACGCGGCTCTAATTAAATAAAGATCATTACTTGTAGTATAATAAACATGAAGTCTCCCTATTAAAAAGTTATATTTCGTTGGTCATCAAAGATCAAAGTTTATATCAACTACTCGAGTC